TGTGGCTCTGACGCCAGGAGGTGGGATTGATTACCCAACTCCACCCTCTTCCCCCCCCCCCTCCCCCATGCTTAGCAGTGGGTGAGTGAAGGCAGTGCTCGCACCCATGCCCTGGAAAGGGGTCACAGAGGGCAGGTGACATGTGGCTAGGCGCATTTTCACTTTTCTGCTTTCCTTTCTCTCCTAAATGGGAGTTCAGTAAACTTCAGTAGCCCGTCTGCAATGTGTTTGTATGGTTGGGGGAGAGGAGGGGAGGGGAGGGGGGCAACAGGGTGGTGCTTGGACCCATGCTTTTGAGGAGTCATGATGAGGTTGTACAGTCAAGTATGGGGTAAGAACATAGCTGGTTGTTGGACAAATAACTTTTATTGAACAAGCAGTGCAAAGTTTGCTCATTGATGAAAAGTGACAACGGAAGCTAAAAAAAGAGGCCAGTAGTGTGCTGGCTGCATACCCGAGCAGCCAGTTGCAGCAGGTGTAGGCAGGAAGAAAAGGGTGCCCAGGGGACCAACAAGACCTGTGTCACAGAATACTTGGTGTCCACATATAACATTGAACTGGAGCCCTGTGAACTGGTTCAAAAAAGTACCTCGTTTTCCAGGTACACTTTGAAAGGTTCCAGTTACCAGTTCAACAGGCTTCTGTGTCTGTTTGTTTCAAGTTTAAACCTGTCTAAGGGAACTCCCATTCACACACACTGTGGCACGCAGCACGTTTCCCCAGGTAGGGGAGGGGAGGGGAGACTGGGGCCAGCGCCTGGGCTGGCCCCAGCAGCCTTACTTGAGGGCCTCCTGGGCCTGCAGCCACAGCGATCCTGCAACAGGGATCCTGGCTCTGGCTGGCCAGGCTCCTGTTTTGGGCAGCACACACTGCCACCCCATGTCTTTTTAGGCATAGGGTTTTTTTGACATTTGAGATCTCCCAGGGTCAGGAAAAAAACCAAACCTCCACTGCAAATTAGCCTCACGGAGAACACCTGCATGTGGCATGTGTGGTGCCTCAGATGGGTCTGCAGCACCTCATACTGCACGTGTGCACTTGTCTGAATATACCCAGAGAGGGCAGTACAATCACTTCTGTACTTTAATCAGGTAACTCTGCAGTTTGATTGCCCACTAAGTGAAACAGAATTCAATGCTAATATCCTATCTTCCCTCTGTTCGCCAAAAAAATGTTGATTATCTGAAATGTCCTCTTTGTTTTGAAGATAATTTTGGTCTTAATAATACTATCCTATGATCACTAAAGGCAGAGGGTGCATGCAGGCGTAGGTCCTTGAGGTGCCTAAGCGTGGCCATGCTCTAGGTGCTCTCCCATCTAATAGAGTTATCAGATGCAAGGCAGGTGTTCAGGATCTTCCCTATTAGTATGGAAAGCAAGGGTTAAGCAGCAGTTATGGTTCCATATATTGATATAAATGTGGATATAGATTCAAAAGAATTAAATTCTTTTTAGGGTTTATGGTATTAAATGATCAGCATGTATGAGCTTTGCAGGTGTTTTAGGGTCGACCTAACTATCTGGGTAGACATAGCCTAAATGAAGACATGCTAGTCTTATTGCAAGGAGTCAACTGCATTGGCTGATGATTAAAAGATTGTGCCTGATTGACTTTTCCTGATTGACTTTTGCCTGATTGAATTTAAATTCTTTAAATTCTCCCGAGCACTACCAGGAGTAAGTAGGAATAACAGCCATAAGTTGACTGAGTGTAGGTTCAGGCTAGACAGGAAGCACTACTTCACAGTTAGGGTGGCTAGGATCTGGAACCAACTTCTAAGGGAAGTGTTGCTCACTCCTACCCTGGGGGTCTTCAAAAGGAGGCTAGATAGACACCTTGCTGGGGTCGTGTGACCCCAGCATTCTTTCCTGCCCATGGCAGGGGGTTGGACTTGATGACCTGTTTAGGTCCCTTCCAATTATGAAACTATGAAATGGAGTTATTTAAACATGTGCGCAGTACAGTTATTTTAATTATGTGCCATGCAAGCGTGTACATGATCTCCCAGACTGAAACTCCCTTGCTTTTGGCCTTTTGTGATTCAGGGAGACTGAAACATGTGCAACTGCAGTCATCTGCATTATGTTATTTCCAACAAGCATTGTATATGAAATAGAGTTTATTTTTTCAAGTAAGTGAAAATTGCAGCTCTGTTATTAGATTTTAAGTAACAATTGTCCATTTGATATAGCAGGTGATAGAGGGTATTTATTTTCTTTTACCAGCCAAAAGGTGATCATACTTCTAAAATTTGTTGAGATTGTCCAGAAAAGTGTGTAAAATCCTCATCCATCACTCTGAGCCCCTGGTCAGGGAATGACAGTGCAGTAAATATCTTCAGCAGCCACCTTTTAATGTACAAGCTGTTTTCGGTAGGAATTTTCAGCACTCACATAAAACACACTGTCATGAGTGACTGCCTGTGCTCCAAAGTCATTACTATTGGGATGATGGAACATCTTTCAGCGAATAACCAAAAAACTTTAAATGTCATGTCAAGTTTGTTGAAGCCATTTTCAAGCCTTGTTCAAGGTTACATGAATATTGAGTATGCCTGTTTTGAAAAAGTTTGAGATCTGTGAGAGGGATCACTCAAATGCTGGTAGACAGAAAAGTCACTCAGTATAAAATAAAAAAAATCTGCCTAGTGCTATTTGGAAAAGTCAGTCAGGCACAGTCTTTTAATCATCAGCCAATGCAGCTGACTCCTTGCAATAAAACTAGCACATCTTCATTTAGGCTATGTCTACCCAGGTAGTTAGGTCGACCCTAAAGCACCTGCAACGCTCATACACGCTGACCATTTAATACCATAAACCCTAAGCCTGGAAAGTCTCCTGAATTTCTGCTTATGAAGTCGCTTCCCACTGCAGTCACTTCTCATCTCGCTTTTCTTTCTGCACTGTGAGCTTTGAGCATGGAGGCCAGATTTCATTCTAGGTAGAAGGCATATAAGTAGTTTTAGGGCTACATCTCACATTACACTTAGGCTATGTTAACTGTACCTAAAGCAGAAAGAGCATCAGCATGTTTAAGAAGGAAAACATTAAGCGCTACAGCAAATTTACGACTTTTGATGGGAGGAGTATCTCCAGATCATTAAGTAACACATGTTCAGGTATCATCTAACTCGGGGTGGGCAAAATGCGACCTGCGGGCTGTATGCGGCCTGCCAAGCCATTCTATCTGGCCTGTGGGGCCCCTTAAAAATGTAGAAAATTAATATTTATCTGCCCCTGGTTGCCTGTCGTACTGCCTTCGATGGCTTCCCAAAACTCAATAAGCGGCCCTCCGCCTGAAATAATTGCCCGCCCCGATCTAAGTGTTCCATGGAGATGATGTGAGTTTGAAACGCCTATGTGATTGTCAGTCCCAACCTCCAGGCTGTACTGATCCAGTTCAAGACTGCCACTAGCAGAGACCTGGTTCACTTCACGGATCCAGCAGCAGGTATGTCTGCAGTGGCAGGAGTGACGCCCTCTTGTGAACCCAGTTCCCCTTGCCTCCCTCTTCTCACCGCCAACGGCAGAGACTTAGCTCATCATTCTGTACCAGGGGCAAGCACTCCCAGGCTGAAAAGTGCTGGGCAGGCAGCAGGGAGGGTATGGGTTACAGGTATGGAGGTTGCATGTCCTCACAAGAGGACGTACAAGCTGCAGTGCCTGGAGCTGGGGTCAGTGTGAGGATGGCTTAGGGAGGACAGGACAGCCAGCTCCAGTTTTGTCCCGAATGGGCTGAGATCATAGCAAGCCTTACCATGCGACTGCTCAGAACATGTTTTGAATTTTCATGTGGCACAGTAAGGCTTACTACAGTCTAAATAAAGCATATGCTAAGTGTCCTGTGCAACAAGGCCTTTGGGTACCTGAGTATGATCCTGCTCAGCTCCTGGAAAATACTGTTAATACAAAAGGCGTGTGAGTTCTCTTCCTCCTCACTGCTTTTTCTGGACTCTGTCTTCAGGGTAAGATGATGGTGTGTTGCAAAAGTAGATACATGCATGACTTTCAAGGACTTGAACTGGGTGAAGCAGGTTCACACCTAAGCGCTGGTATCCACCTAGATGCCTAATAAGTAGGATAGGTTCTGCTTCAAAAAGCTGGCTTCAGGCAATCCCATGATTCACTGGTGGCGCCCTTTGGCCTTTCTGCACCCAGTTTCCTTTCTTGATAGCTGGAAGAAGAGACAAGTAGTTTACAGCTTAATTCCCAGAATGGTGCTCCGACAAATGTATTCCTGTGCAAATATGCTACCATAATGCCAGGCTCAAGTGATAAGAAGCACCACCTGGAAAGGTGTGGTTCAGATTACAAGGAATGATACTGATGGAGAAGGAAGGTTCCCCCTGGTTGAGAATAATCTCAAGATTGACCCTAAACATTGTAGACCCACCCTTGGACAATGGCCCAACTTCTTCAAGGGTCTGAAATCAGTGTGGGTTAGGCACCTAGGTACCTGGAAGGATCTGGGCCAAACAGAATTGAAATAAAAGCGCATAGATTATCATGCACCATCGCATTGCAGTATAGTTTGGTTTATACAATTTTAAAATCTGTTGAATTCTAAAATTATACAAAAACTATGGTTTAGTTTGGTAAAAATCCATTATTCTATGTTTTTACTTCCTATCTAAAAGGCCAATCCTGTGAGGAGCAGATCACTCTTTCAAACAGATTTCATTCTGAAAGGGAAAATGCTCAGTACCTGGCAGGATTTGGCTGTGATTTTGTGAGTATGGGTGTTGGTTTGTTGTTGTTTCACGTTGGTCACATTGTCACAAACTAACTTTTTTTACAAGTTATGATATTCACTCCATGCCATTTGAAGTACCACTAAGCTTCACTGACAGGTCTCCACCCTGCAATATCATTTCTTCTGAATGGAAACTTCTCCAACTTGGTCAATTTTAAGAGCTTTTTCTGCATTGGAAAAACAATTACCAAAGTGACCATATGTCTTTAGTAATGGAATGAGATTTTACTTTCTTTCTTTTCTACAGAGAACCAGAAAACCCAACTAGAAAAGCCACATTCACACCACAATGTCAAGTTCAACTTGCCAAGGAATCCAGTCACCAAGGAGCTTGCTTACAATACGGAAAGTAATTCCTGCACAGCTAGGAGCAAGACTGTTGGGAAAAAGGAGACCTGCAATGTAGATGGAAATAGAGAAAAGGAAACAGAACTTGTTGGCTGTGTGACCAAAGGAGAAGTCATGCCTGAAGTAGAGGCTTTGCTGGCAAGATTGCGAGCATTGTAAGTTAACCCCACAAAACTCATTAAGCAATCACCGAAGATAAGCTGTAATAGGCAGCAGTATTTTAAAATACACTAATTTTGCATGACTGACATTTACACACGTGTATTTCAAACTTCTCATGCTTTATATCTAGACAAACTTGCGATGCTTTGCATATGAGTTTGAGACTGTGTTTTATGCCTACCCATAAACAGGCTTTATGCCTTCCTACCTGTTGAGTTTGTTTAAAATATATGAAGAAAGAGATGCTGAATTATACTGAGAGACAATCCTTTAGTGAAGAGAATATTTACCACAATGTTGAGAGTTTTTTCTTCACAGCACACAATACATTTTAAACAGCTTTATACTATCATGTTTGGCCATCATCTAGTAATAATAAATAACTGCAGAAAATAACTTATATTTTTTCCATATAATTTCTGTGGTTATCGCATGCCGTCAAATCTTTTTAGCATCTAAAACATGATCATTGCATCATATTGCACACTTAGCAAGGGAATGTATGGTATGTAAATTTCTCATAATCACATTTTAATTTGGGTTAAACTAGCACCAATGTGTGTTGGATATTTTGTGCATTAGTAAAATGGAAAGATATGGACAAAAACCAAGAAATCTATGCAAAATATGTACTTTATATAAAAGTAATATATCATTCCTGTTAAGCTTAGTTTTGATGACTATATCAACTTAGTATATACAATTTCTATGAATGTCATGTTGCAAACATTCCCATAGGACAATATTTCTTAATGTCTCAATTCTTTTGCATATGAGTAAATATGTTTCTATATTATTATAAAGAATATCTAATGGGATAGACTTTTACAACTGGGTTTCAATAAACTCGTTTTCCAGCTGCATATATGGTCTTATTGTTGCATGTATGGTCTTATTTGCTGGCATACTATGACTATTTCACGCAGAATTGCATCTCCTTTTCGACAAAGTTACGTGCTCACTAATATACTTATTAATTGTGCATCACCATGCTATCAGCTAGAAGGCTACAGTTAAGTCATTTCACCTTTATTTAAAGCTTTAATTAATCAAAACATATTAGGTAGTTAATATCTCGCTTCCAAATTACTCTATTTTTCTTTATAAAATCCTGAAAAAAGTCTTTCAATAAGAGGCAGTTACATGAAACCAATGTTTCAATGCTTTGTTGCTTTTTTATTTTCTTGTATAAGGTTTTTTTTTTTTTAACTCCTGCACTAAACATTAATAAAGTTAATTAGAAATATGAAACTAGGCCTGTATATACACACCAGGGCACAGAATGTTTTCAGTCATCATGGGAATCAGTCTTGTATTTCTAGGGCTGCCATAACTATCATTATATGCCATGTGTAGACTAGACAAGAGGCATGTGTGTACAACACTTTAAAGCCAGCTAAATGCTTTTGCATCTCTTTAATGGTATCGGTGTTTGCACATCTCATTGGCATATTGCACATTAATTCCAGCCACTGTAGGAAATTCAGCGGCGTAATGTGCCTTAAATGACTTGGGCACAGCAAACCAAAACTCCTTTGAGCTGTGGCTTGCTGCCCCTACAGCTGCAAAGTGAAGCACCAGGCCTTGTGCAGCTCAGGGGCTCTGCAGGAAGTTCTGAAGGCAGCTTGGCGGCGTCCCAGGAAAGCAGGCTCCTCCCAAGAAAAGCAGCAAGCCTAATTTCCCCCCTGGGGCCAGCTGGCCCGCCTGCCTGAGCTGCACGGGGGCCCAGTGCTTTCCTCCACGGATGTGGTGCCCCCCGGGACCACCCGAGCTGGGGTGCGTGCAGGCAGGTACCACCAGGGGCGAGGACGGCACCACTGCCATGGAGAGAAGCACCAGCTCCCCCTCCCCCCGCAGGTGAGGGACCACTCCACCCACCGGCAGCTCACCCCGCCTTCCCCACCAGTGGAGAGGCAGGTAAGTGTGGGGTGTGTGCACAACACTGTTTTAAAAGGCCCTAAATTGAAGCAGTGGGTTTTTTAATGGGTTTTTAAAACCCACTGCTTTGTAAACCCACCACTTCAATTTAGGGCCCCTGTTTCGTCTACATACACCCATAACCTCTAGTTGCATTTTCTATTTTAGCTAAAAAAAGAGAGAGTAAAGCATTCAGGAAAAATCAGAGGCTCACATATAGAGTATTTCATTCAGATTGTCAGACTTTCCAAACACTACATCAACAACATGTGGGAAGAGCAATCAATTAGGAAGTTTTCTTGCTGGCTCTAAACAGTTAGTTTGTTGAATGCATACTTAGTAGATGGACAGCACCTGGTATTTCAAAGAGTAAACAGGAATGCTAGACTCATCTTAAGCATACGAATGTCATGTACATACATACCTGAGTATTACGGTTTAATTAACCCCTTCTAGATTCCATATTCATCACCTCTACGTAGTTACTGTCTGACTAGATTTTATGGGGAGTGATGTGTTTCCTCCATAAAATAAATATTCTGTTTTGGACTAACCTCAGTGTTGTGTGTAGACAAAATGGTATCATGAATATAAGGAAAAGTTGTGTTGAGACATCTTGACACCCTCAAGGTGGTTTATGCTGCTAAAGACAGAAAAAAATACCAACACAGTAATAAAGGGTGGTTTATGGATAGTAGCTCTGTAAAACTAGCTAAAACATTAAAGCAATGACCTTTTGGATGGTGGTTCAAGTACAAATTCATGTTCCTGAGCAAAATAAGTTTGTTCATTTGAATTAGCGGGTAATAACCCACAACGGAAAACTGGCAATTCAGTGCACTTGATAGTGTATGTTCCAGATGGACAGAGGGCTAATCTAGGATGGAAACCAAATTACTCCTTTTATCTCCTATCAGTCCTCCCTTTATGGAATATTGAAAATAGTTGAGATAAATATCAGCTAGAATTTACTAATTTATATTAAGTGAACAAAGAACTTCTGATTTTATTACATTCCAACTATCAAACATTTAAATTTAAAATATGATTGTGTATGGTTAAGACTTTTACCATTAAGATTTTCACCAGTTCTCACAAATGAGTATTTTAGAGAATTTAGCTCTTCTCTACATAATGAATTTCAGAATTAATATTTACAGCAATAACAAAATATAATCTTTACAATGCCTATTAGAAAGCTAAAATAGTAAAAATAGTAACTCAGATGCTTATGGTTCATGGAAATGAGTACACAACAAATATTTTTCTAAATGGGTCTTTGTTCTGTACTATTATAATTCAATTAAATCAGAATTGTCCAGTTAGAACAGATTAACTGAATAGTTCTAGATGACTGTTGATCTCATCCTGCATTTCATTTCCCTAATTAAACTCTTAACTTTATAGTTAAGGAAATGTTTAGGCTCAAAGAATATTTTTATGGTTATTGGAAGGGTAATATGTTTAGATTGGCCAACAATGTGACTTTTAGAAGGATCAGAAAAAATGCAAATGTGATTGAAAAATCTCCAGCATGTTTCTGTCTTTAGATTATTCATTAAAAATACTAGGCCTTGGCTTCTAAAATTACAGTGGCAGAGGGCAGACTAATTTTCTTAATTTAGTCTAGTTTCTGTGTGCACATGTATATTCATGGTTTTTAATAAGTCATAGTTTGCCAACACACCTAACTGTATTGTATTGGCCATTTTATATCCACTGTCAATAACTGTGATTCCTGGTGCATATTCTGTTTCTCAAACTTCAGGATTGCATATGCTATTTGTGCTTAGTCCGACTGGGGATTTCCAAATACAGAAAGAAACACAAGAACATAAGGCGAGGCATTCTAGGTCAGACCCAAGTTCATCTAACTCAGTATTCTCACTCCAACAGTGGCAAGTCCTGGATGTTTCAGAGGAAAAATATTAATAAATGAGACATGCATAAAGTGATCCCTACCATACGCTCCCAATTACCAGCAGTCTTAGGTTCAGGAATGGCCTGAGCATGAACTGACATGCCTCACCCTTTATTACTGTGTTGGTGTGTTGGATCTGATGGGCTTCTCCCTAAATTTTCTATTACCTTTGACCTCCACACCAACATATGGCAGTGAATTCCACAAATTTATTGTGTGTCCTTTTTTGGACATTTTAAACCTGCAATCTGAGAACTTCATTGGGTACCCCTCCAAGTTCCTGATTTAAGAGAGCTGGTGAGTAAGTTTTCTATTCCCTTCTTCTAGGCTATTTGGATTTCTCTAGACTTCTAGAATTTCCTTCTCAGTCAGCTATTCCAAACTGAAGTGTCCTAGCTTTTAAAATCTCTCTTTAAATAGAAGCCATTCCATACCCCGATCACCTTTGTTTCCTTTCTCTATAGCTTTTCGAGATGTATATACTTTATGAAATAGGGGGCTCCCTTAACTGCACGCAGTATATTCAAAATATGGGTATGCCATCAATTTATACATTGGCATAATTATATTTTTGGTTTTGTCTTCATTTCCTTTCCTAGAACCACGTTTAGTTCCATACCCCATGCACTTTTGCTGTGCATCTTAAATGAGGAAGCTGATTTTTCTTTGCTGGGAAAAGAAGTATTCAGATACTGTGCTCTAACAGTTCCCAAGATGGCTACCACTTGCCTGTGGTCCCAGGAAGCAGAAGAACCAGAGTCCTGTGTTCCCTATCTCTTAGCTGTAGCTGTTGACCAAGCACTGTAACTTGTGCCTGATGCAGCAATTGACTTGGCTCAGGGCAAGTGAGCTGCTGCGTACAGTCTCTATCTCGATGAGGCTTTTGGTGTGAAAACAATATGTTATTAGCTACAAAAAGTTATATAAAAATATGACAGTAAAGACAACAGTCTTGCTACTTCCCTTGCAAGGGTTTGGGGCCTAGCCTTGTTGTCTCCTGCCACACTAGGAACTTCCTGTTTCCTGCCGTAGCAGTTTCCTGGTTGCTACATCTCCTGGATACTCTGTTTTCAATAGGACTTACGCTGTCACACAGTTGGTCATGACTAGGAAAATAAAATTTACATTCTACTTTCTAAAAATAAAGCTTCTCTCTTATTTGGGGGTATGAGGTATGTGAGAAAATATTGTCATTACTAGCATTTTGTTTGCCTTTTTGGCCAGAGCTGCACATTAAGCTTCAACGTGCAGCTTCAGTGTCAACCAGGACAAAGTCATGCACGTGGGGAAAAATAACCTCAATTATGCATATATGATGCTGGGCTCTCAACTAGCCGTTATGACTTAGGAAAGAGACCTTGGAATCACTGTAGATAGTTCTTTAAAACGTCAGCTCAATGTGCAGCAGCAACCAAAAGGTCTAATAAAATGTTGGGCATCATTACAAAGAGAATTGAAAACAAAAAGGAAAACATAATTGTGCCACTATACAAATCCTAGACATACCCATATCATGAATATTCTGTTCAGTTCTGGTCTTCAAATCTCAAAAAAGATGTAGCAGAATTATAAGAGGTACAAAGAAAGGCAACCAAGATGATTGAGGGTATGGAGCAGCTGCCATACCATAAGAAACTACAAAGGCTAGGACTCTTATCATTTTGATAAGAAAGATGATGGGGGGGGGGAGGTTATGATGGAGGTATATAAAATCGTGATGGGTGTGGACAAAGTAAATACGTCGCAGAATACTAGAACTAGAGGGTACCCATGGAAATTAGCAGGAGACAAGTTTAAAACTAACAAGAGAAAGTACTTTTTTATGGAGTACATAATTTATGGAACTCATTACCACAGGAGGTTGCTGAGACCAATAGTACAGCCAGGTTCCAAACAAACTAGACAAATTCATGGACAATAGATCAATTAATAGCTTTTAAACAAAATATTTAGGAATGTATCTCTAAACCAATGATGGTGGATGCCAGGGAGGATGCGAGAGAGGACAGATCACTCTAAATCAGG